CATGGTCTTCTTATAGTAAGACGAGATCACGAAGGCTATAATTGACGAACAGCTGCTCGGCACGTGTTGTTGCGTACAAGTACACACTATCGATCGACGCAAAAGGTAATTCTGCGCGATGGCTCGTCGATCAAACTGATCCATGAATCAACCGTTTTGTCGTCGTTTCGGATGATCCCAGATACACGACCTACATGAAAAGTGCAGAGGTTATTAAACCTGTCTTTCTTGTTTATTATTAAGAAAGATAGAATTGTCCGTGAAGAAATTAAAGTCTATTTCTTTTGCTTATAACAGACGCATAAAAAAAAAAAATAATCGAGATCGCTATCGAATCTTCGCTTTGAGATCGATGCTTGTCTGGTGTTTTGATGTGCGAGCGTTAAAAATAACATTTTAACCCGGATGTGATAGTGCGATATTCATTTGATTATTATTGCGCAACTCTTTCAGATTGATGCAATTATCGGTTTTCGAAAAACAGCGTTATTATCCACCGGCAAATCGTAATTATCCAAATTTGTTAGTATAGTAATCACTGTAATAACGACAATGTGTCATTTCCAGTAACGGCGACGATAAATTATGTACGGCAGATAATTATCGTTATAATGACTGAGCGACTAGACAAACGGCAATCGTGCCGATTGTCTTTCTCGTGCCGATTCCGCCTCATTTAACTTGCGCAGAATGAGCGAGCGAATTTCGGATTGCAAACAACAAGATCGATTACGCGCGTGGCCGGCGATTTAATGAACGATCCATTACGTCGATCAAAAGCGACAATCCGTAATTATTATTGTTACAAGTGTTGTCGTTAGCGGAGAAGACAAATGTCTCGCGACAGATGAGCGACCGGATCGGCCGCTTGCCATCCGATAAAATTATTTCGGTCTCGCATCGCGAAAGAGCGTATTGTGCTCGCCGTGACTGTGTACGCCTTCACGGACCAGAAGACGACTCTCCCCAGATGATATCTGACTAGCTTTAAATAATGGGACCTTGCTACGAGTGAGTTCGACGTTCCACGTCGTGAACCTGCAATCAGTTATACTGCATTCTCGATTCGTACGAGTAATATGTTTCTGAAGATGAACAACTCCTCCCTGTGTAAAATAACAGATACTTTTCAGCTAGAAAGATGAGGAAAAGAGCGGTAAATCTATCGTATTTGACGCAGATTTATTCCTCGTTTAATTTAATTTTTTTTTAGATATTTTATGCCAATTATTAGCGATAGTTAAAATCACAGAGAATTCTATGTTACTTATTAATAATAGAAATAGTTTATAAAAGAAAGCTTATCAACTCTGATTATTTTTAACTTTCATTATTTCATGTCTTCAACGTTTTTTATTCTAAAGACATATTTATTATGTAGCGTTTGTAAAATATTTTAACAACACATTTTGCAATGGTTGTCCGCTCTTTTTATTGGTAAAAATAATACACGAAACAAGAACGATAGATGATGAAACAATAGTAAAATAGAGATAACGAAGCTTATCACTCTGTTTTGTATTAATACAACTATTATAATTATTAAATTACATAATCGCTGTGCAGAATACAAGAATATAGAATTATAATTGCACGATGTAATCAAAATTTTAAATTGTTTATTAAATATGCTTTCCAGATGCACTGTCGTCATTCATTGAAAATATTTTGTAGGAAATGAATGTGTAATTATAATCTGCAAAGTAGAAAATTTTAATAAAATATAAAAATAAAAACCAATATTATCAAGATATTATCATTATTATGAAAATATAAAAATTTTAAATAATATTTTGTATTATATTATAATTAAAATAGCAAAAACTATGAAATCACAATTCTGCAAAAAGGATGGTCAATGTCACTGTCACAGTTAATTAATACTGATTTATAATTAATACTAAATTATAATTGTATCCCTGTATTCGCCAATACCAACAGTTGTAATTTTTAACCCTAGCGTCATTTTTAAACATAAAGACAAGTTTTTTTTTTTTTTTTCTTTAAGGCGAAAGTAAGATGCTTAAATGACACAAGTCATGCGTATTAATGATAAGCGTAACCTATGTTTATAACGCTAATAAGCTTACATCTAGAGAAATTTAGAGGATGTTACATCTAGAAGCTTAAATCTAGAGAATGTTATGTTTTCCTGGACAGTATCAGACCACCCGAAGTTGTACTATACATTCAATATTTATATATGTATTATATTCAATACAACTGCTCTCGAGAAACACGCGGACAATATATCTCCAATTTTACTTAGATTTTAGTCTTAATACATTTTTAATAAGTCTTAACAAGTTCTAAACCTTTTATAAGTAGTAATTTGTATTCGCAACTTTCTTCAATATAAATTTTATCAACTATTAAGTTAATTGATCGGGCTCCTTTCAAAATTATAGACATCTATCGGTTAAAACTGTAAACTGTGTATTAATCGTAAGATTTCAAAAAATTGCCTTAAACCCAACGCACTATTTAATTTTTTTTTAGATTTTTTAATATTAAATAGAGAATTAAATAGAGTGATTTATTAAAATTAAATAGAGAATTAAATAGAGTGATTTATTAAAATTAAATAGAGAAAATATTACTAATATAAGAATAAATATTAAATATTAAGAATAAGAAATGGAAGTTACTTTATTATCAAAACATGAAAATGAAATTGATTAACGCATTAAAATTAAGAATTAGGAATATAATAACGCATACTTAACATATAATCCATTGCTCCTTGTTTAAAAAGTATTGAATAAATATATGTGCAACTGTAATCTATACATCAAATATGTAATTGTTTAAAAGAATTAAAATGGAAATATCGAAATTTGTCAATAATTTCGTATTATTGTAGCTAATATCAGAAAAATAAAATTTTGCAAAACAGATAAGCAACGTCACTATTTTAGTAAGGGACTCTTTTCATTATCACAAATCTTTATAGTTTCAAATATTGCAGAATTTGCTAACTATAAGCAACACCACTTACAGACTAATATGCGTAATTTGTGTAAAGCATATTATACAATAAGTAAAATATATTGAATTAGTCTACATTGATTGTCACGTTAGTATTATTAAAGATAATAATTGGAATAGATAAATATCAAATCAATATTTATAAAATATTTAAAGTTTAGAAACAACAAAAAGTTTAGCGTTTTATAAAATTTGTATAGAAAAGGTATTTAACTGTAATAGAAATAACTTGTATTTTAAGCCGAAAATTTTTTAATTTTTTAAATACAATTTTTATAACCACTAAAATAATTAATTGTTAATCAATAGCTTCGATATTAAGCCACTTCAGTTAAGACCGTAAATCATATATCAATCATTTTAAGAGTTACTTCAATTTTTTCCGAGAAATATTTCCGATACGCATTATTCTGTGTGCTCTTAACACAAATTAAGAACGTAGACGATGAAGCAATTTATCACTGTTTTGCATTAATACAATTATCATAATTATTAAATTACATAGTCGCTAACATTATTGCGAAGGAACAAAATTTGTCAACATTGTTAATTTGAAAACCGCTCTGTCCAGCTGAAAAATAATTTTCAATTTGCAAGAGTGCTAAGGTATCGACGGTCCATTGTGTGGGAGGACGAGAGAGGCGCATCCTGCCGAGCGGTGACTAATTGTCCTCGTTCGCTATCGTTCTCATACTCGTACGAGGGTGCAACGCGTCGCAATTTGCCAGTGCATGCAAGGCATGCAGGAAGAGTGCGTGCGTACCTCGGGGCCGTGTAGATCATTGATCACGCCGGATTAAGGGGATTTGTCGTCTCGTGGTAGCGAAAGCGTGGGCGGAAAATGATCCTTTTTGTCGAGTCGTGTTCTCGCTAGAGAAGAACACACGCGGGATCGCAGGACTTCCTGCTTTTCCTTCACGACGGCCCGGCCGAGCGGTTGCAACGGTCCGCACTTTTTCCGGATTATTATCACGAATTCATTAAACCGGCGGGCTCTGATTGCCTCAAATTGCCGGAACGACAGGCGATGCCGTAAAAACAGTTACATAAGGCGCACGCGATCGCAGCGCGAATGATTCGGCTATTTGTTATGAGTGGACAACAGTGCATTCGCCACGATCTACTTCGCGCGTTCGACTAGAATTCAATCGCAATCAGGTTCCTTTCGGCTGAACTGTCCCGCTCTATTTCCTTCTACAAAAACATAAACATTTAGCGATCTCGTAAGAAAATTTTTCAATCGTATTTCTTTTCACTCGTATTGAAACTTGATGAAACAATACTATAAATTATTTAAATAAAATTTGGGCAGTGAAGCTTCATTAAATATAATTTTTACTACTTTAAAGTAATTTTATTTTTCTGTGGAGCATTTTATATAATGATTAGAATGTTTACTTATTTATTTTCTAAATAAAGAAAGCAGTCATTAAAGCATTGATGTAAGAAGTTTTTAAATTGAATTTATTGCTTAATGCAATTTAATTTAATCTAATGAAATCTTATTTTGTTTGCGCATTTTCCGCGTTTGTTCGGCTGGATCTTACGAGGTTTTCGCCTTTCATTTCCGCTTTCATTCTGCTGGTTTTCCTGATTTGCAGATCAGGTAGCATGCATACTGTTACGCTCGTTGCAGATTATTCTAGGACGATTAAGCTAGTATTATGTGAGATACGCTTTTGTAACTGCCGTTTCGCGTAACACTTGCATGTCGATGCACTGCATGCTTCGATGTATCTCGCATATTGCACCGCGATTTTCCAGTTAAATGTCGAATTGTAAAATTATATAGCGTAAAAAAATAGTATTATTAACATAAATTTTATTTAAGTCAAACAGCATAACTCTATTATAGTAATTATTATATCTAACTTTAATTCATAATGATTGATGAGGGTCAATTTTAATCGGATCACAACTTATTGGCGCGATTGGTAGGATGGCACATCGAAGTGCCATACAATCGTGATTCTGCCCTTTTCCTTTTCACATCATCGATGCGAAGGGACTAAATGCCCTCGGGTACATCGTAATATTGAGCCATTGCGCGAGTCCTCGTGACATCGAGATCATCGCCGGGGCCAAGGCTCCGTGAATAAAGCCGCAGATAATATTCATAGATATAAAGCAGCCCGGAGGACTATCTTCAACGAGGGACTAGCGCGACCTTAAAAATCCGGTCAACAAAGCGACCTCTTCGAAACGAGACATATAAATTGCGAGGGCTCAGAGAGCAGTTCTCATTGGGGAATCGCTTCTCGAAGAGAGCTAACATTAAGACCGTCTCGACCGTTCCTCGTACGCTTCTATAAATGTAAGGAATAAAATACCGCCTTAAATATTTCTTGGGATTACGGAGAAATTTTTTAAAGACATTCCAAAAGAATAATTACTATTATAATTTGTGATAAATATGTGAAATAAAAATATAGGATCTATTTAAAAATTTTTGAACATTTAGTTGACAATTATTTGCTTATCGACGAAAATATAGACAAATATAGAGCAACATTATTAAAGTACATAAAAAATTGTTACACAAATTAATATTTTTATCAAATTTGAAAGAAAAATAATCTCACGTTGAATGAAGAAAAACAACTTGGATAATATGCTATCGATTATGCGCGATTTTCTTACGTGTCTCTAAATACACACAGTTTCTACGAATCGCATCGCTTGCACGCGTGTGTAAGGCTGATTACAGGCATGAAATATTTATCGGTGTGTGTCACGCTTAGGCAAGTGGCATTATGTTTCGAAAGCGGGTGGAGAAACGGCGCGTCGCGCGGCAATATTATAGAGTATCTTAGAACGGGCGCATCGTGCTTAATGTTACATAATAGCACCGGTAATAGAGACATATTTACCATATGGACTGTCACATTGCAGGCATTATAACACTTTAAGCCGCAACTGCCAACCTTACTCCCTAACGCTAACGAGGCTGCATCTGGAGACTCGCTGCCCGTCGCGGCCTCGCCTGCAATTTCTGCGCGACGCGCTTATTAAGACTTAAATTGTCAGTTTTATTACGCGCTCAGCGTGCGTAACGGTATTTTTGCCAATCAACAGGCGTAATAAGCGAGAAGTAATAATAAACATCTGTAACGCCTATTGATAATGTGTTGAATAGCATAACATTCAGGGCCATACGGTGTGCAATTCTTGTATAACTTGAACTCAAAACGATAATTACACTTGTTACAAACGAATTGAAACGTTTAAAGTCTTTTAAATTAAGTTTGAAAGTTGTCGATAAATAATGAAGTATTGATCTTCGGTTAATTTTAAATAAATTTTACTTAATGCAGAATTTTAATCTACGATGTTTATAGTGAAAACATGTTTAATAAATTAATGAAAAAAATCGCGTGAAACATTCTCTACAAGTTATGATGACTCAGTTATAAAATACGCCGTTCTAAGAAACATTATGAATATAAGAAAATAAAGCGTACGGCTCTCTCTCTTTCTCTCTCTGTGGCGAATACGTCAATTGCTACACAGTTACTAATATTTTATCGCTTTCGCAATCGAAGCTTCGGTATTGTCTGAGTGTAACAATTACCCCTTTTCAAAGAGCATCGTTGGCGTGAGATATATTACGTGGAAGCTATTAAAAGCGCATGCACGGTGAACGCGCTCGCCGCGAATAACAAAACGAATAATAAAAAAATAAACGAAAAAAAAAGAGAAAGAACCAAACTGTATCTTACACCAAAAGTGGGACAGTGAAACGGTCCGGACCCACGCATCTCACGTCGAATCTGGAGCCGTGCTCTCGCGGTCTCCAAACCCGTGACACATCTCGCAGTCATCTCACGTGTCCGCATTGTAGTTCACTCGGGCAGCCAGCCAGCGGCCGTCAAGACCCGAGGCCAGAAACCCACGGAACAAGAACAGAAGCAGCACTGACCTTCCCCGTACACGTGTCCACATAAAATATTACGATGCGGTCACGTTCGCGACGATAATTCGCGGACGCGCGCCTACATCGCGACCGTGCCTTGTCTTTCTATCCATCTTACTCTCGCCTTTATGATGCATGTCGTAATTTTTGCGACTGTCTAATTTAAATTGGTACTGAAACGTAATTATGTTTTTATTTATTGGTCGGAAAATTGGTGCTGAATTAAATTAGATTTTTTAAGAATCATTAAATATTGGAAAAAAAGATTGAAATTTTAATATAACAGTAATAAAAATTAATATTTATTGTTTTTTTTTCTCTTTTTTTTCGTTTTTGCATTCCCTACCTTACGTTCTCTAGAAATTTGAAAATTTCGCGCAGGACAAGAAAGTTAGACAACAATTCTCGCGATTTCGAGCGAGATTAAAGTATACTGCATTATTCAGAGCTCAGTTTTGTCGAGACGCTCGTGTATATTTATAAGCGGGGCGGGTTTCACGACACGATTTGCACGTTTGGAGTATCTGCTTGGTCGAAATGCATCTCGTTTGGAGTCTGAGCAGTGTCTTGGATTGCTATATATATATATGACAGAATACTCACAGCTTTTGATAAGAAGTTGAACGGCATTTCTGCAAGAATCTTCATTTCAATACGCAGTATTATAAAACATACTTACATATTTTTATTTAAATACCTATTTTAAGAGTCACTTCTTCTTTTCTGTGATATTCTTCTTTTCGAGATTTCTCTATTATCCGAGACATTGTAATAATATCTTTACATTAAGCTTGGTCATAAATATCTGTAAATCCTTATATAGTTCTAGACCGCCGAAGCTCGCATAGTTGAGCTTCAAGTTTATAATTTCGATTCTTTTCCGAAGCCATAGAATACGTTATAACGTAGAATAACGCGTCGTTAGGCAAGAATCGTGAAAACTGAGATGGCATAGTAGTCATCGTATCTCATGGTAAACACCGAATCTACGGTGCCTCTTCGCAGGGCATTAGAATCATTCGGAAATTCACGCCGTCACAAAATAGCGCATTTAACCGCTTTAACGAGCTAACAACTTCGACTTTTACGTCGCTGTAAATTCAACTCGTTACAGCCGTATCGAGTTTTTGCCGATTCGAGGGGGCTCGCTTCGGGCGTCGGGCCCGCTTGCGTGGACAATGAGAGGATAAATTCGTGATTCGCGCGGCATCGTCTTCTCAACTCTTGCGCGCGAGCTCTTAATGATCCACCAGCGGAATATGCTTGTACGTAGAGATTATAGCGCGCGTTCTTCGGCATTTTGCAGTACGAACGAATTTTCGAAGCAAAGCGAAACGCGCAGCGCCCATTATCTGCACGATAGGCATGTCGGCGAGCGTTATTTTGCCATGAGAAAACCACGAAGAGGAATCTTTGAGTGTAAGCGCGGTAAGAGAAAAATTCGCGCGAGTACTGAGCTGCTCAAAGGAAGAATGTTGCGGATGTATAACTGCATTAACATTTTTTTTATTACTTTTAGTTTATAAGGAATTCGTGGCAAAAAATAAGTAATTTTTGTCAAAATTTTAATTATTCTAATATTGAAAAATAACATTACATGTTTTAACATTGGAATGTTTGTAACAAGTTTAAGTTGGTGTAGCGCGATATTTCGATTCTTGAATGAATTTGAGCGAGATGAATTCGTGGTTCAGATCGTTTTTTTTCTTTTTTTTTACAATCGTGACGGTCGATTATTGCTGGAACGCTTGGTGGGGCACCGTGAAAGGTAACGGTAATCCGGACCTCTCGTATCCCAAACCCACTCGGCCATCCGCGATCTTGAAGAGCACCGTTACACAAAGAGCTCCTCTCCGCGAGAATTTTTTTTGTTTCGCACGTCGCACGCGCCGTGAATATAATTGTAAACTTAATTGCGTTTGTGTTGTCCGGCGCAAAGGGAGAAGGCTTATCTTCTTCCGGTTTTCACCGTGGCGCTATGATGAATGATGGTTGCGAACGGCGATTCG